TCTGTAAGGTGCATTTCAAGAGTTCTGAGGACCTCAGAGTGAGATTTCATGGGATGATTATGAATGAACTAGTCCACCAACGGAAGCTGCATAACTTCTCACTTTGGTTTCATAAAAGTTTTATGCAACTAACTGTTCAAATTTTGCAAAATACTGCAAGAATGCAGAATTAAGCAAGAGACAGATAATTGATCATTGATTTTTCACATCAATAATGGTATTTAAGTAAATAAATGATGAACACTTAGATTGTAAAGTATGGTAAACATCTTATGGGTGATGTTAATTGTTTGAAAAAAAAATCCTGGGAAAATTCTGCTAATTAAAAGATAAATTCCAGTGATAGGTCAGAATTACTTTCTACTTCACAATAACTTTTATTATTTTTGAAATACAAATATAAGAAAAAATTAGAAAAGCCAGGAACATACTTCATTTTTAAGAAAACAGACGTATTTAACATTTTTTAGTTTGGGCATTTATAGGAGACCAATGAGAACAAGTATAAAAATTGTATCTCATTATTTTGAATTTGAATATTTGACATCTCCCCATTTGTGAACTACATTTCTCATTCTTCTCCTGTGTGGCTGCCCTGGAGGGTCAGCTATTTCAGTTTATATCTTTGCATTATTAGATTTAGATTATAAATTAGTATACTTGTTAGTACTGTTTTTCCTCCCCAGATTTAAGTTGTTGACTGATGGCTTCTTGAAACAGAGACAATAGAACAATGTGCCTCACAGATGATCTCTGGTCCTCCCTCTGACCCTCCCCAATAGGGTTAGAGCAATATCATTTTACTCTGGGTTAAATATTCTAATTTACCCATGTGTTTTTCCCCCTGTAATGGGGATTAAACTCAAGGACACCTCACCACTGAACCACAACCTCAGTTCTCTTTATTTTTTGAGACAAGCTCTCACTAAGTTGCTGAGGCTGACCTTGAACTTGCAACCTGCCTGCCTCAGCCTCCCAACCATGTGCCACACTTTTAAACACTCATCTTCTGTGGCTTGATGGGCCAAAGACCTGAACAGACACTTCTCAGAGGAGGACATACAATCAATCAACAAGTACATGAAAAAATGCTCACCATCTCTAGCAGTCAGAGAAATGCAAATCAAAACCACCCTAAGATACCATCTCACTCCAGTAAGATTGGCAGCCATTATGAAGTCAAACAACAACAAGTGCTGGAGAGGATGTGGGGAAAAGGGTACTCTTGTACATTGCTGGTGGGACTGCAAACTGGTGCGGCCAATCTGGAAAGCAGTATGGAGACTCCTGGGAAAGCTGGGAATGGAACCACCATTTGACCCAGCTATTGCCCTTCTTGGACTTTTCCCTGAAGACCTTAAAAGAGCGTACTACAGGGATACTGCTACATCGATGTTCATAGCAGCACAATTCACAATTGCTAGACTGTGGAACCAACCCAGATGCCCTTCAATAGATGAATGGATAAAAAAAATGTGGCATTTATACACCATGGAGTATTACGCAGCACTAAAAATGACAAAATCATAGAATTTGCAGGGAAATGGATGGCACTAGAGCAGATTATGCTTAGTGAAGCTAGCCAATCCCTAAAAAACAAATACCAAATGTCTTCTTTGATATAATGAGAGCAACTAAGAACAGAGCAGGGAGGAAGAGCAGGAAGAAAAGATTAACATTAAACAGATACATGAGGTGGGATGGAAAGGGAGAGAAAAGGGAAATTGCATGGTAATGGAGGGAGACCCTCATTGTTATACAAAATTACATATAAGAGGTTGTGAGGGGAATGGGAAAATAAACAAGGAGAGAGATGAATTACAGTGGATGGGGTAGAGAGAGAAGATGGGAGGGGAGGGAGGGGGGATGGTAGAGGATAGGAAAGGTAGCAGAATACAACAGTTACTAATAGGGCATTATGTAAAAATGTGGATGTGTAACCGATGTGATTCTGCAATCTGTATTTGGGGTAAAATTGGGAGTTCATAACCAACTTGAATCTAATGTATGAAATATGATATGTCAAGAGCTTTATAATGTTTTGAACAACCAATAAAAAAAAATTAAAAAAAATAATTGAAAGAACATTCTCGTTTTCTTTGCTGGTTCTACTCTCAGATCTCATAACTTGTTTAAGTGAATGGAGATATTAAAAAACCTAAGAAACACCCCTTGCCATTACCTTTAAAGTCCTGATCCGCGTATTAGTTGCATAGCTACAAATTTGGGATTTTTCTTTTTGTTATATTTTTAAAAAGCTTTAAAAGTAGGCTTTTAGAAGCAGACTTTTTAATCAAAGTTGTGTGAAAGTCAAGATGATGTATTTATTCACCATGGTGAAGAGCCATTGAAAAATGAGCAGACATTCCAAAATTAATCATGCTATGGTGATTACTTTGCTGTGTTCTGATCATTATAATTGAAAATACTCTTCTAATTCTAGCAATTAATACCTCATGTCTTTCTGCTTTATCAGTCTTCTGTTAAGCCATTTGTGGTAGGAGCTTATTGTCTGTTTACTTTTTCTTTAGTCACTTTTTTTTTTGTGTGTGTGTGCTGGAAATTGAACCCAGGGGCACTTTATCACTGAGCTACATACCCAACCTTTTATGTTTTTTACTTTGAGACACGTTCTCACTAAGTTGCTGAGGCTTGGCTTGAACTTATGATCCTCCTTGCCTCAGAATCCCAAGTTGCTGGGATAACAGGTATGCATGTATCACTGAGCTAGGCAATATAAGAATCTTGACTATGATATGGACAAAGATTTAAAAAATGACCAAGAAAAAAGTAATAGTTGTGCTAAGGATGTGTACAGAGTTGATTATTCTCCCATTTGTTTAATTTTCTTTAGTACTATCATGATAACATTTTAACAAAAATCAAATTAAGCTTTTGTTATTCTATATATAGGTGACTATATTTAATTGTGTGGCACATCTTTTAAGTATAAAGGATTATCTGGAATCTGAGCTTAGGGGTTTGCCATACCACTACAACTATTATTACTACCAATAATAATTATGGTGATAGCAATAATAATGATATCAAACACATATTTCACCCGTGTTTTTTTTTTTTTGTACCAGGGATTAAACCCAGGGATGCTTAACTACCAAGCCATATCCCCAGCCCTTTTTAAAAATATTTTATTTAGAAACAGTATCACTGAGTTGCTTAGGGACTCACTAAATTGCTGAGACTGGCTTTAAACTCTCAATCCTCCTGCCTCTGCCTCCTGAGCTGATGGATTACAGGTGTGTGCCACTGAACCTAACTCATATTACACTTTTTATGTGTCAGATACTAATCTAGATACTGTATCATTCCATCTAATTTATTTCCATTTCTAAGAGATTTATGAACTGCAATTCATTTACAAAAAAAATATATGGGTGGTCTATTTTAAACCTACATTTGTGAATATAATTCATAAAATCAGCTAAAGGGCTATGTTATGGGAGCCTTATTTTCATGAAGGATTGCTGTGATGCAAACATAGTTAATAGTTTCTAATTGAAATGTCTAGTTATTTGAAAAGCTCCTGTTTATATTCATCTAAAGGCTCCTGTTTATATTCATCTAAAGATGAAGACAAGACACCTTCAAGTATTCAAATTGTTCCTTGTGTATTTTCTCACATTGTGCTTTCTGATATAATTGTTCACACATAAAGACTAAAGAAAAACATATTTGAGCTGGGTTTTGCAAAGACATGCTCTGATGTGTTTTTTTATGCCTTATTCTCACATAGGCTAACATATCTCTGAATTTCATTCTTCTGGGGTTTTAGCTGAAGTGTTCTAGCAGATGGCAATTGCCAGACCATGTCTATAGGTTATTTCATCCAAGTTGCTCCAGGGCTTGCTGGCTATTATCTCAACTAGTGTGACAGCAATAGGAAATTCTGATAAGGGAGTTTTCTGCATGGAAAACATAAGCAGCCCTCCTGCTTGCTGGGAATTCTATAGAATTTTCATGTCAAATAATTTATGCACATTTAGCCCTACCTTATTCATATAATGGAGAATGGAGTATCAAGATTTTTCCTAATCAATCTAATTATCTAAAATACAAGAAAATCCAAAGTTTGCACATAGAAGGGTATATAAGTCTAAGTAGAGGGAATTATTGCTTTAGTGTAAAAATTAGAATTCTCATGAAAGGGCAATGTAGTACCACATGCCTTGAGTTAAAGAAAGGATGCCAAATTTAAGAAACAGCCCAATGTAGTCATGTTACTTTGTCAAACACACGATGAAGAAGGACTCAACACATGCTCCATTATTGTAAAATCTGCATATATATCAACCTAATCACTTTGCCATAGATAATGCAATTAAGTTTAATAGACAAAACCTTAGAATAAAAACCCTCATGAGAATATTATTCCTCACAGTGTCTTAGAAGATGGATGTGGTTGAAAATAGTAGGTTTGTGAGGAGAAAGAATTAACACTGGACAAAGAGCCATCTTCTTCCACCAACTTCAATTCTGGTTGAGTGGGTTAAGGTATAAAGAGAGACTCAAGACTTGCCCTCCTCTGTGATTAACCACTATCATGGCCTCACCAGTCATGGAAAATCCACTTTTGATACAGCTCATAACTAGGCAGGGTGCATTTGAACCTATGGCCATGGCCTCTGTATAGTAGAGCAGGGATTGGAGAAAGTGGAGGAGCCTCTGCTCAGTATTTAATGTAACTGCAGCCAGGGTAAATGGAATCTTTCCATATTACCACAGGGTCCTCCTGGGTTCACAGGCCTGTCTTATTTGGGGAAGGAGGCATATTGCCTTTGAAAATGATAATGAATCCATCTTGTTCTCCCAAAGTTAGAGTTTGAAAGCATTTGATATTTTGGCTACTTCATCACTACCAACGGTGCCTGTCTTTCATGATTTGCAGGAGACCTTCCCCCAGCCCCACTCTTACAGAATTTGCCACTTATTCCAGTAACTTCGAGAAGAAAATAAAAAGCAGATGTTGTAAATATACTCACCTGAAGAACACAAAGATCCCCAGGGAAATCACCAAGGTGAAAATGGACAAAGAGTGACCCACGATAGCCAGGTAGTACAGAGAGTACGCATTCTGGAACAGAGAGATGAACCAATGAGTTCAGGGAGGGTGCAAGAGTTTCTGTTTCTAGATACAAGTCAACATAGTTTTCCTTCTTTAAAACCATCTAAAAACATCAGAACAATACTTCTGCAAATAAAATATTTTTATGTTTATTCATATGATTTTATAGAAATCAACTGACCTATTTTCAAAGAAAGTTCCTTGAGGTGAATTAAATCTCATTCAAAAATATACTGTTGAAGTAATATAAGTGCATGAAAATGATTACTCTCAAGCTGAGGAAGAGATCCTGGTAGGGTTTAACTTCTAGGGTCTTACAGACAGTGGGTATGTCTACCCTACAAAATGGCAGATTAATAATCTACAAATTCTCCTGACTCTTGGCACTAGGAATACACAAAGAAAAAAGAGAGTACGATGGCAGATTTTTCTGTACCTGTATTTAACCCAGGATTAAAGTACATACAATTTAATGTATATCAATTTAAAAAAATAAAATAAATTTGAAAAAAGAAGGGTATCTTTAGTATTTAGTTGGTTGAAGAATATGAAATCTTTTCCTTGATGGTCATTTGTTAATTCTGTTTTTCCATAATCATGGTTCATTTTTATTCTCTCCTAGTGTCATGTTGGTTCAAAAGAATATTAATGAGTTCTTTCATGAAATGCATAGTCTCTCTCTCTCTCTCTCTCTCTCCCCCCCCCCCCTCTCTCTCTCCCCCCCCCCCCCCCCTCCCTCTCTCTCTTACACACACACACACACACACACAATTTTGACACTAGCTTTTGAAATTACTTAGTTTTATCCATTATAATTGAAGCAGACCTAGATCTATTGGAACTGGGGATTTTGTTTTTAATTGCTGTTTTTCTTAATAAGGAAAAATTTGTGTATAATTTTGTATTTGTATTTTAATCTCTTGAATTCTTGTTTGAAGTTCCTTCTGCAGTGTGTTCACCTTGGTATTAATGCAATATAATATAGATAAGAAGGATGATTTCTATGAAGTGTTATGAATTTTGGGAGTAAATGTGACATTTATGTATCTTGAGCATTTTGATTCTTGTTACTTGCCTTGTAAAGGGTCTGAGATTGAAACAGTAATTCTGCTAAAATGTTCTCAATGCATGCAGAGACTTTCATTTAGTTATGGGTATGATTACTGTCCTCAAATAATTATCACCTTTCAAGGCTCCAGGAATTTCAATACAGATTGACCTACTTCTCCTGAATTATATCTGTTGTTCCATTTGACCAGGCATTTACATTGATTGACATTTTTATTGCTGATACAATTATCCTAATGGCACTTCTTATCCTATCCTTACAGGTAATAATGATAAAATTGGAATAGTTGATTTATTGATTGGAGCTGATAAAAACTTTAGAGAACTTACTGGGAGGGACTGAGGAATATTTTTGAGAAAAAAATATTTGGCTCCTGTCTTTTCTCCCAGAAATTAATTTCCTGGCTATTTTTCTAAGAAGGCTTTGTATAACTATTATTATTATTATTATTAATTTATTTTTGGTAAAAGAGATTGAACCCAGGGGTATTTAACCACTGAACCACATCCCCAGGTCATACATATATATGGGAGGGGGCTCATTAGATTGTTTGGAGTCTTGCTAAAATTGCTTAGGGCCTTCCTAAGTTGTTGAGGCTGGCCTTGAACTGGCAATTCTCCTGCCTCAGCCTCCTGAGTCTCTGGGATTACAGGAGTGTGCCTAGTTTCTGGCATCAGAGGGGATCCCATCATCTGTTTCATGGATACTATCTGCTTTGTCACAAATGACCGGATTCCATATGTTCTTGGAGGTACCATTGAGATTAAACACTAAGAAAGGAATTGTCATTTTCTCTAATGCTACTTCATAGAAAGCCGAATTTATAGGTCACCACTGATTTCCTTCCATAAAAATCATTTGGCTTCTGAGTAGCAGGTATTTTAAAGTTATAAACCCATTTCCACATATAAATAATGGCATTCTCATCCAGTACTGAAATTTGAAACAGAACCCACCTGCAGCTTCTCAGGAGTGAAAGCGTTACACAGGGTATAGTTGGTCCAGGTTCGATTGTTGTGGGGATGTTTGAACCAAACCCCATTTTCATCACAGTATTTTGTGACCCTTTCTGTTAATGAAACATAACAATCAAAACATTAATACCTCAAAATCCCAAGGGAAAAAGAATAGTAAGTTAAAGCTTACAAGCTATTTCAAAGTGCTAATCATCTGTAGAACTTGAATGTGATCATCAGTCAGTAGAGTTCATATGGATCACGGGTTATATAAAGTATTTTAATATGTGTTGTCTCATTTTATCTTCAGCGGAGCCTTGGGAAGCAGAGGTTGCCATTTCCAATGTACTAACTGGAGGCAGATGGGGAGGGGTTACAGAATTTGAAAAGGTCATTAATCCAGGATTGATCCAAGATTTAAATCCAAGTCTGCTGGCCTCCAAAGTGCTACCCCCATACTCTAATTCATATTTTTTAGCAGACAAATTTCTGCTTATAAATGGGAAATATATGAGAACAGGGAGACCATACCTTTCTTCATTTGTTTGTAATATTTTTATAAGACTGACTATATGAAACTGTGGGTCAAATGGTCAAATATTTACAATTTCATATGGTTAAATCCAACAGAAATCCCAAACTAAGGGGAGTTACAGCAAGAGGTCATTTTTCCACCTCTGAAAAAGATATTTTTTTTTTATTTGTCTCTCTTCACTTTACAATGCATATTGGGATTCATAGCTTTCACCTTTACTATTTGCTTCTTTAAACCTCTTTAGGTACTAGTTAGTGAATTTGTAATTAGCACATTACAAATCTCCACCATTGTTATAAAAATGTATTCATGATTTTGCTAATGCTAATTGTTGATGGGTCATTCCAGGCGTACTTGGAATTTTTAAAAAGTGATTTTAATGGCAATATTTTACCTTTACTATATTGTTAGAAATTAGCTCTGTAGCAATGTTTGTTATGTAGCAAGGAGAGGGGAAACTACTGTGTTCAAAAGGAGGGGTATTCTCCTGAAGAAGTCCATTCCACTCATGGATAGACCTCAAGACCAATTCTAAAGGAATGAGGGTTGAGCAGCCCTGTCCTAAACCACATGTTGACCTTGTTGGCACTGTTGATTGCTTGACTCCAAGTGCAGGGCCTTAAGTGCCTCTGTTGAATTTTGCTTTATTAGCATCTTCCTATACACTGTCATCTTTTTCTGAATTTCAATACTGTTCTTTCCTCTTTCACTATTTATTTGTCTTTCACGAGGCACTTTTTCCAAAATGAAATGACTGACATTTTATTAAATTTTTTGTACATCATTAATATGTAGCTTTTAGAGCAATAATAAAATCCTAAATAATTTGTTTGTTGAATATAGACATTTTTACTAGGTGGCTTGTGAAAATGGATTTATCTCCCAACTGAGAGGGTTCCATCTAAAAACAAGGCTGAAAAGATGGATCTGTGCCTGGAAATCTCTATTTTGCTGATCAAAACCTTGCCTTTTAGTCAATATTTATAGTCACTTTGGCAGGAGCCTGCTGCCACTTTGGAACTGGTCTAGTAGCCTCAATTGCAGAATGGTGCTTTATGCCAATCAAATTACCTCTAATGTAGTTGTCAAATCAAGATTAATGAAGCATCATTTATTGGGAAGACTCAATAAAGAACCAAAGGATTATCATTAAGTAGCATTTACTTAGAGTTTGTAGGAATGTAGCTTTGAGTTAGGGCACTGGACAGAGCCCCTTCTTTTTTCACATCTCAACTCTTCCATCAAAATAGGAATTCCCAGAAGTGGCTGGCCGACACTGGTTTTAAAAGAAGCTCCCTGTAATTCTACTTCTATTACCCCTGCCTTGCTTAGGTGGAACTTTGTGGTTTCAGGAACAAATCAGATATTCCCTTGAAGGAAGATGCAAATAATGTCTTCCAAACCTTGTCCAGGGATGGACTCATTTCTCTGCTCTAATTGGGATTCTAGAGCCACTTAAATGTCCTCTGAACCAGTAAAGTGAACATTTTGCTTTCAGGAAAAGAGTCTCACCCTTTCAAAGGGACTTAACAGATTGCATCTGTAGCTGATCCCATCTAGTTTCAGCATCTGAGTCTCTTTTATAACTAACATTCTCATCCCCCTTCTAGGATCTTTGTTCCAGACTTATTTTAGCAGGACGTATTTCTTTCTAGTTTCTTGGGACAGGATTTTTCTGGCCTTTCAGCCACAGTGCCTGGAGCTGGGTGGCTGCCTTCTCCCACCCTCTGATGCCTCCCTGTTTTCTAGAAATATATCAGCCTCTTCTGAGGTCATACTCTGCCTCCCATGGGCACAGCTACCTGGGCACTTGGATGAGCCTCTCTGGCTCTGACCACCTTCTTACCTGGACTTTAATTGTCCCCCTGGTTTCCCATCTTGGCTCTACATTGAATTTCAGCAGAACTTTTCAAAACTCCTGATGTCCAGGCTGTACTTCTACTCCCAATATCCACTCCCATTAAATCAGAATCTCTGGGTGATACTTAGCATGGAGATCTTTTTCTATTTTATTTTTATTTTTTTTTAATTTCCCAGCTTCTCAGTTAAGCAGAGAATCATTTACTTCCTACTATCATCTACCCAGTCCCAGTTTCTACTTCCATCCATCTGCTTAGTCTCTGGAGTGATGCTGTCAATACTCTTCTACATTCTTCTGTATTGCTCCTGAGCACTAATTCTGGTACACACCTCCAACCTGCTTATGAATACCTGACAATTCAGAAACATGTGACTTCAGCCCTTCAATTTCGCAATATACTTGGAAACTTCTCCCTTGGAATCTTCTCCTCCTAGACCTTCTCCCTGCTTGAGCATCATCCCAGCTTGATTCCTAACCATGCAGGGTGATAAGATTGAAGCCTCAAAAGTTCTGGAAGTATTTTCAATCTGCATGAGTCGATATGAAGACTGAGAAATAACAGTTCTCAACTGATTTTCTAAACTGTTGTGCCTAATTATATAGAGAGGGTTAGGTAAAGGAGATATTTTGAAAATAATGTTGATATTTTTATACTCATTGAATATTTTGGTATTTAACGAAGAGCATTCATATGTAACTTTTACAACTAAAGTGAATTCAGTGGCACTCATTTACTTAACATATCTGTCAGTTGTCATTGTTGGTCCCAAGTTCAGAGTTGGGTTTCCGTTTAATCAATTATTGCACTATCAGTCTTACTTATTGAGCATATTTCAATAATCTGAGGTTGGAACAGAAATTTGATGTCTAGAGCTATTAGACTTTTAGTTAAACATTTTCAAGGTTATTTAGAATTTCCATTGTGTACATCATACCATCCCAGTGTATGCAAACTCTACATCAAGGTTTTGCATAAATTACTGAATGTGACAATTGAAAAAAAAATTTTAAAACCCACATTTAGATAAAACTTTTATAAAGTTTTTGAGAAAATTTTATAAACAAGAATGTAATACCAATATACCTTAATAGCCAGCAATATGATTTAAAAAATAAACACAACTTGCAGTATTTGTACAGCCTGAATAATATTTTAATTAAGGAAACTCTTCAAAATGTAATAAAACTTGGAATATGACTAAATAGATATATTTTACATGTGATTAAAATTTTTGATCTATGTAAACTCCAAAAGCTTCATAACAAAAATATATATTTTACCTGTGGGGTCAAAATCTGGAAAGTAATTGGGGCAGTACTGGGAGGTCAACATTCCAGCCGGAGTGTCATCCCAGCACATCCAGCCATCCCAGGTGCGGTTGCAGTATGGACCTGGGCATTTAGAAAGAAATTAATATTTATTAATTTATTAAATAAAATTAAAATGAAAAGAGATGAGTGGTCTCAGGGCAATCCTACATATAGTTGATCCCACTGCTGTGGTCATGATGACCCACATTTCAAATGAATCAGTCACTGTCATGAAAATAAAGTTTCAAATCGCTTAGAATATCTGTGTCTAAATTATTTCACTGGCTGAAAGGCAGGGTTCTAGTCCTACTTTGTAAGAGTTTCCACAACTGAACTTATCAAAAAAAAAGTGAATGCAAAGACTGCATTTAACTCTGCTCTCCATTTATCTAATGGTAAGTGAGATAAATCTAAGACATAGGTTGGTTGTTAAATCAAATGGTTTTGAGATGTATTAATAAGTTATTCACCTCCTAAAATGTTATTCTCTAAAATATCCAACCAGGAAAGTGGATTTAGGTTTGCAGGCCTTGCAATTCTTGTGCGGTAGGCTGTTTTTCTACCACTATCAACATAAGGATTTGAAGAACAACTCAGTAAGACACCATTACTTGAAAAAAATTCATGACACCAATTAATTTTTAAAAATTTGAAATAAATTTCGATGAATAAATTTTGTAAAGCTTATCAGCATATTGCATCTAATAAATCTTCTCTTTAAATAGTACATTTATTTATTTATAAACATTGAATTCTAGGAATTGACAAGAGATACTGAATTTTATGCATAGTAGTCTGGTTCTCACAACCCAATGTCTTATTTGGGGGGCCGGACTTAAATTAGAAGAGAAACATACAATTGAAAGTTATTAAAAATCCTTAGTAGAATTTTTCTATGCATAGATAATTAAGCATATCTTATTCTGGAATCCACTGGATATGGAAATGTTAAAAACAGTGACAGCAGCAGCAACAACTAAATAAAGATATTCACTTTACGTATTATTAATGGAATTTACATTTTTGTAGGGTTTACTCTATTTGTTCCTTAAAATAAATACGTGTATTATGCATTTAACCTTACCTTCAGAATCTGTCCTTTAAAAAACTTTTAGAAATACTAGGAGGAACTCTTGTGAAAGTATTTGCAAGTTCATACCTGGGTAAAGCTTTGCTTGTAAACATCAATATGGCTTTAGAACATAAAGATTTTACTATTAACCTTCAAAGGGTTACCTTGGGTAGTGATATTCTTAATCCAAGGGTGCTGGAATTGTTCAAAATTCCTGTTGGATTTGCACTTACAGCCAGTTAGTGAATCACATTTTAAAAGTCTTATAATCTTAGAATTACACTTTGTTACTAACTGAAATAATGCTCAGTTTGATCACTTTATGTATTCATCTACATTGGCTCCAAGTGGTTTCTTACAGGAAAATGTGCCTCTATAAAGGTATTCAAAAGAATGAGTCTCAGGCTTTGAAGGCAGTTCTCAAAACAATTTTTTTTAAAAAAATACAATGATCATAGAACAAAAATTCAACCTCCCAAGGTGACTAGGACTAAAGTGAAACAGATTGCACTCAGTTGGTCTCTGAAAATAACAGGGTTTTGGGGTGTGTGTGTGTGTGTGTGTGTTTGTATGTGTGTTTTGTCTCATTTCTTTCAAAGAAACGATTTTGCCTTTGGATAGAGTTGCATCTAATGCCCTTTCAATTCTTGATAAACACTGAAAATACCACAGACAAAATAACATATACTTGTCTTTAATTGACTTGGATTTTATTTTTCTGTTTAAAGGAAATGCTAAAAATAGGAACCATGAACTTTAACCATTTGGAAGGAAACCATGTGTAGCAGTAGAGTATATTTAACCATTTCCCCCCTTGACAAGTAGGGTTGTCTTAGAATGCATAAGGTTGTACAAGGTCTTGTTGGATTTTTTCAAATGTTTTAGGAGGCATGGGAAAGAATTTAAATGGGTGTTCTAATGCTTGAACAACCTCTCTTTTATTTTCTTCTGGGTCTTCTACAGCAAATTGAATATGCTGAGTCCTGAAAATGTTTCAGCAATCACATAGAACATTCTAGAGAAGGTGATAGAGAAACCATGTTTGCTGAGAAGATGTGGTTTTTCTAATTCTCCTGGGAACTTGGGGTAGAAAGGGAGAAGAAAGAGCATGGATTGCCAACCAATTGACAGGGAAAAAACCCTATGCCTAATTAAGCCAAATAAGAGAGTTCCTTTTAAAAAATATTGTTTTAGTTGTAGTTGGACACAATATTTTATTTATTTTTATGTGGTGCTGAGGATCAAACCCAGGGCCTCGCACTTGCATGTGAGGCAAGTGCTCCACCATTGAGCTACAACCCCAGCCCAAGTAGAGTGTTTGACAGGCTCCACCTCAGGCAAATTCTCTGCCCACCACCTTCCTTCCACTTCCTGTCATTTCCCTCCCCCCCCCACTTAATCCTGTATTGTCCTGCTTGCCAGGAGTGAATCCAGAGTTAATGTAGTGATTTCATCCTGCAGGCAGATGCTAACCAAAAAGAAGCCAGATGAAGTTGAGAAGCGATAGGCATATCTCACGTGAAACATATAAAGATACCACAGTGTGGAAACTCCTGGTGTATTAAATTTAAATTATCTACCACATCTCCACCCATGGAAAGAAACAAGTCTTTAATGATATTTCAAACATATGTTCACATATATCTTCTCTTTACCTTCTCCTTCGTATGGTGGCATATTCTGCATGCGGTCATAGCATTTGTACTGGGCATCCATCATCCTCTGGCGGCCTATGATATACAGGTATGGCTCAGTCATAGTTGTTGGATCAGTGAGATTGGAATAGGCAGGAAGAATTGGAGTTGGGTGCTGTATTAAAAGAAAATCAGTTACTTGTAGAGAGAAGAGATGCGTGGACACACAAATGAGATAACCAAAGAGTCTGAAAACACCTTACTATTCCTTCCAAAAGCAACACTTATTCCTGATCTCCTCCAGGTAGAATATTTTTGCTTTATAACTAAAAAGTGTATTTACATTTCCTACACAAATTCTAACTACAAATTCTATATTTGTACCAGTATCTATTCATTGTTGAAAATGGATAGCACCCACACACACGCACACATTTCTCTAGCATCTAGGATTGTTTTAATTCTCTCATCATGGTAAAGTTTAGAAGTAAACAAAGTACATAACATGATTTCAGAAAATTGCCCAAAATAAATCAACTTTGCTTTCTTTGGAATTCTTAAGAATCATGGATCATGTTATTTAAAACTAGACAGTAAAATAAGATGCTTCATTTATTGGACATTTTTTTCAGATGAATTTTTGGTTGTGCTTAGGTTGTGAATGCTGCCAGAAATCTGCCATGTATTCCATAGAACAAAGTTATCCCTTTGATAACTGACTTTAATCTCTTTAAATTGGTTTCATTAGCACATGACCTACACAGGACTATTCAATTTTTTTTGATGAAAATCAATTTAATTTTTAAATATTTATATTTGCATACTTGCATTTTCAATACAGGTTGACATGAGTTTTTGTTCAGTTCTGGTTAATCTCCATCACCATCACAGCTCTCTGGTTATCAAAGTTGATGTGTTTGTATGAAAAGATCACAGTGTGTCATATCACCCCAACTTGTGTTTATATGAAGTTCAATTTCTTTTGTGACAATGACTGATATTCTTTGTGGTGCTTGAATCTGATTTTTTTTAAAAAAATATTTACACCCTGCATATCTATATTTTGTTTTGTTTTTAGAAAACCTAGAAACTTTAGTCTATACTGACTTTCCCTTTCCTGAAGTTCAGAATATTGCTTTCTATCACATACAATATAGCACATGTTTATTTGACCTTATTCTGTCTAAATTATTCCTAGGTTGAAGTTTTCCCATGTGTATTAATGGCAAAAATAGTCTACTGTTCTCTCCTGTATTCCCTAGTCTCTAAAATGAAACCTGTTGCCATTAAGTTGACCTGTGCACCCAGGTTACTCTTGTGAAGCCTCACTCTTTTCCAGTGGGTGTCATCCTGTATCTTCTGTGTGAGCTCATCACTACATGCTAAGCTGTGTGGTACAAAATACAATTGAAATTCTGAACAGGGAGAGATTATGGGGCAAATTAGGGGTGGTCACAGATACATGGCAGAATCTGAACTTGACCTTGAGATATGTAGTGTCTGTTTAGGCAGAGAAAAAAATAGAAGGGCTTAAATATGAAGGGAAGGGAATGTGCAAGAATCCAGAGGCAGGAAACAGCACATGTGAAACACTGGAATAGAGCCACACTGCCTGAAGGGGAACTCATTTAACTTTAAGTAAGAAATGGGATTAAGGAGTCTGATGGTACCAAAAAAAAAAAAAAAAAAAGAAAGAACTATCTTGTACTGTCATTTTGAGCAGATTAGCAACCTCTCCAGGTCTAAGTTGCATTTGTAGTAATATTTAACTTCTATGGGTATGGTGAGAATAAACGAGAAAACAAATACAAAATATTTGTATTTGATGGAGATGATGGTGATGGAGATTAACCTGGTACTTGAAAAGCTTAATACTTTTTAGATAATATTATCAAAAACATGATGTAAAATAAAATATATTTTGTAGGTTTTTGATCAGTGAAGGCTGTAAAAGGAGAATTTTAGTGTAATCCACATGGCAGGCATCACTGTCCACAGATTAGAACTGGGAGGGGAACTGGGAAGCTAAAGGCCTGGACTGAGTCCATTGATAGATGGAGAATACAACTCTCAGCATCTCCCGAAATAATAAAGATGTGTGAGTCTAAGTGATGGAAAGTGGCCACAGTCAAAGAGCCTGAATGTTTAGCCTACTATGTAAATGAACAAATGGTAGTTCCTGAGAAAGGAAGGGATCTGAAAAGGAAAACCTTGGTAGAGGGAGGGAGGGAAGAAGGTAAGTCCTATTTTGGAACTGGTTTGTAGATGCCCTCTGGTACTCAGAAGTTGCTTGCAAAGAGAAGAGGATGAACACTTATTACTGTTATAGCTGCTAAGTAGACATTCACTGTGAATTAAGTTGACACTACTCTTTAAATAGGCTATTTCTATTTTTAATGTCTCTTGAATTTATGACAGAAGAGAAATTAATGAACCCACAACATTTTTACATATGTGCAAACCCTTTACTCATGTAGTCGAACCTAATTCTGTTGACCTATGACTTTTCTCACTGGCTTTCAGGTTAACTTGTCAGAAAACACCCACTGAACTTGGTAAGTCAAACATTGAAGATACAGTGCTGAATAAAACAAATGTGGATCCTGCTCTCATGGAGCTTACAATTTAGCAAACAAAGACCAGCACTACAAAATATCGTAACAGAAATTGTGAATATAAAATAATCACCAGTCATAAAACTTTGAAATATTCCATTATGAATTAGAATATGATTTGTGAAACTTTAAAAAAGAGTACACTGAAAATATTCCATGTTATGAGTTCTTTTTGTATTTAATTATCTTACATTTCTGAGTGTTGTGTGTATGTGTTTTAAAAATTCAACTAAATATGATGGAACCATCAAAGAAAGGAAGCATCAGGGTGTCCTTACAATAGAGATATTAATGGCATGTGCATTTATTTTAGATACTTCTTTTGTGCCTCAATTCTTAAATTCTTCAGTTAATATGAAAATTCTCATTTGATATATTATTAAGTTCTGGACTAACTTCTCAGCTTTTTCAAATAAAATTAGAATATGGATCACCAAATATATATGTGTATATGTATGTACATAAACATATATAAACATACATACATATATATCTTGTCCTATATATTATATATTTTAGACATTAGGAACTATTTTCCTTAAGGTTGGCTTTCTTTCCAGAAGTAACATTCTGAATTCTGTCTTTAAATGGCTGACAACCAATTAAAATATGTTCCAGTACTAGCTGCAAATTCACTGAAGCCATGGGAAATTGTCTGTACAAAGATATTAAGTGAAACACTCAATACTTATATTTTCAATTACATCTTTATTTGATTTAATTCATTTTAACATCAGTAACAATGGCCATATGAACATCTGAATAAGAGTAGGTGTAGATCATGTCGATGACAGTAGTTTCAATCTTATCATTCTTGCAATATTGAAACAAACTCCAGTGAACTTGGTTTGGAGCCTGGTTCAGTAGAGATTGTTTCAACACTGAAGGAATGAAAATCAGAATCTTTGTTGTTAGATGAGCCATAGCAATCTCAGTCTGCTTCTGGGCTGGTCCATGTTTGAGCCATGAAGATGGAATGTTCCCAATGGTAGCTGAATGTCTTTATGAGTTCCTAAAATAACATAAAATTGTGGCATTCTATTTATGGATAGATAGATGAATAGATAAATAAAGAGATAGATGGATAGATATATAAGTGGATGGATATATGGATGAACAGATGAATAGATGGATGGTTAGATGAAGGGATATATAAATAAATGGATAGCTAGAGAGTTAGATGGATAGATAAATGGATAGATAGGTAGATGATGAATAGATGGATAGATGGATGGGTAGATGAATAGGTAGATGATGAATAGATGGATATATGGATGGGTAGATGGATATGTAGATGATGGTGGATAGATAAATGAATTGATAGATTGATAGATAAATATATGAATGGATAGGTAGATGAATGGATAGATGGATGGGTAGATAGATGAATTGATAGATGGCTAGATGGATGGTAGATAGATGAATGGATATAAGGATAAATAAATATATGGATGGATAGGTAGATGGATGAATAGATGATGGATGGATAAATATATGGATGGATAGATGATGAATAGATAAAAAGATATAGATGCACAATTATGTATGTGATTATAAAAAGTTGATTTTCTTTCCAGCATTATCTTTTCAATTACAACATATATGTGTATATATATCCATAAAGTAACAAATTTTATAAAATTCTTTAAAAATATTAAGTTTTTTCTGATAACTTCATACAAATAAAAATTGTTAGTGAGGTAGTATTATTTTTAGCAGTAAAGAGTCAAAATAATACCAGTTGTAATTAGAATGATCACGTAATGTGAAAGCTAAAAAAATATTCTTCTTATCACAACTGTTATGTATGTTATGTGTTTGAGAGATTTAAATAAATATATGATTCTATGCCTAAATGAAGATAGAAATGCTACCTTAAGAAATTGCTTGTTTGAGAACAGACTAATGTTCGAATTTTGCCTGTAAACAATCTCACATGATTCTTAAACAAACTAACAATCTCCCTCTTAACTGTTGTCCCCCGTGGCAGTTTAGCTGCTGGATATTTGATGTCACTTCTAAAGGTTCAAGTAAATGACGCCACACATCCAACAGCCAAGCTGCCACCAGCAATCAGCAGCTGACCCTCATTGGTTCTTTTGGTGAATAAATACTTGAAGTGCCTCCCACACTCCAGACCCCATTCTGGGTTCTGGAAATTTAACAGTGAACAAGACTGACAAGGTCCCTGCCCTCATGGAGCTTACATTCTAGGTTTCATTCACACTAATCACAGAGGGGAAAGTAATCTGCTTTGAAATGGCCACATGTGGAGGCAATTCTTACTTATATATCAGACATCAGTCTGTTTGGGGTTAAAGGTAGTTTCTAGGAGTACATAGACAGAATAGTTATAGTGCTATTTAGTCTGGAACTTTGAAAAATGTGCCATCTCTGCAATGGCTCAAGCCCAAGCTATAGTGCTGAAGGGAAAGTTTCCTATTGATTGACATGGGCAGAACTGCTCTAAAAAGCACATGTGGTAATAAATTTTTTAATGTTTAAGGAGATGGAAATGTTAAGTATGCTGATTTGACCATTAAGTACTGTAAACATGTATTGAATTATCATGTGACCTCATACATTTATACAATGCAAATAATATTTAGTAATAAAAAGAACTTGAATCAAGGATCCACAAATTGATGTAAACAACAGTAGATCTATGTCATCATCCTAAATATTTGTAAGGTATGTGTTATAATTATTTGGAGTTTTCAGTTGAACTTTTCAAAATAACAAAGGAGGAAATACAGTGTTGTAAAATATACAATGTTGTACCTGGTTCTTCCAGGTAGGATCAGATGCCTAGTTGGTGTCCTATGTACTTTCTAGGGAAATGCAGCTAAGTAAACAAATAACAAGAACTAAATGCTCCCACCTAGTTTTTCTATGTCCTCATCATTGTTGTTATCCATCCACATTGATAACATTTTTTTGAGTGCTCACAATCTATCAACTCCTATACAAACCCTGTTACATTACCTCAGAGAAGGAAGAGAAAGTGCATGGATTTGGTTAATGGGGAAGACATCACAAAAGGGAAGGTGATGGCCCAGAACGATACTTTAAAAGACCATGTGGAAAACAGTTGGTAGAATTTAATAAATATACTGGCAGTGGTTTTTCACAACAGTGTATTATGTAAAAAGTTACTAGGTGGATTAAGACCACTGCCATTTTTAAGTTACCAATGTGGAACAAAATGAATCTTTGGAACAAAAATATTTTATCTGTATGCTATTTTTTGAGATGCAGTTTATGAACTTATTTTTTATTGATTCTTTTTAGTTAAACATGACAACAGAATTAATTTTGGTATAATTATAAAAGCACAGAATATAATTTGTTCTGATTCAGTCCCCAGTACTTCCCCTTCTCCTCCCTGCCTTTAAATACCATGCTCCTTTCCTTCTATTCTACTGATCTTCCTGATATTCACTTAGTTGTTTTTTAAAATTAGAGTCTTGTAGAATTTTGTTTTATTAAACAAATGACAGATGACATATATAATCCAAATACAGCAAAGAGAGCACAAAGTACTGTGCTCACTTATGTTGCTGGTCAAGAAATGCCTCCAAACCATAAAATATTTCTATCTATAACTCATATAAATACATGCAATTTTTTCATTATTTAAGTTGTAAGATAAGTAAAAATTATGTTTGTTTTTTTAAAAAAATATTTATTTTTTAGTTGTAATTAAATACAATACCTTTATTTTATTTATTTTTATGTGGTGCTGAGGATCAAACCCAGGGCCTCCCATGTTCTAGGCTAGTGCTCTACAGCTGAGCTACAACCCCAGCCCAGTGTTTTAGTTTTGAAATACACTCAAATAATCTATAGTTTAATGTATTTTGTTTAATATTTAGTGATTTCTTTAGTTTTTCTTCTACCATGTCCAATATAATTATACACTTTATGGTACAAATTATTTAGAAATATTCACATATATGCTATGACATAGGATTTCATTTGATATATTAAAAATAACCATAAATTTATGAATAATATATACCATTATTCTGCATCTATACAATAGCACACAGGGCTTGGACATTTATCAACAAAATAAACTATTCTATTAGTTTACAATATTCTTTTGTATTTTTCTTAGATTTCCAATTGCATGAAGTAATGTACACTTCTAGAAACTGGATTACTTTAAGAAAATTATACTGTAATTTATCTAAAGAAATATTTAATAGGGAAAATAATTGGACAGTCTGATATAATAAACTATGCCCATTATCCAAAAAGGCATAAAAGGGTTGCATTAACAATCATCCCTGTAAACCATTCATTTGAAGTATAATGTTACAAAATAAAAATTCTCTTACAAATTAAATTAACATTTATGGAACACTAGTAATATTTTTTTCTTAAATAGTGTAAAGAGAAGCAGTTTAGGTGGACTTGTAAGCCTGCAATCTCGCACTGATGAATAAGGGAAATCCTGGAACCCTGGACAAGTTTAGCTTGCGTCAGTATCATAGTATGAGATCCTAAGTGATCTCTATTGCCAGCTCTAGTTCATTGACACATGTTATTCTGATGTGGTGGAAAGAGTAAGGATTGAGACAACTCCAGATTGATTTACATGGAATTCACCCTTCTCCTTCTCATGTGCTATTGAAACTGATGTGATTGTGGGTTAACAATGTTGACATGAATCAGTTTTCTAAAACAATTATACTTCTAATTAGCTGCATTTTTTTTTAGGAAAAAACAATATAAAATGACACAAATTAAACATGTTTTAAAAGGCTAGAGAAAGTTATGGATTGACAGTGGTATGTAAAGACTTGAAGATTCTTAGTTTTTGATGAGATATATATTTGAAGTGAATAACCAGACTGATAGAGATCAGATGTTTTAAAAGTACTGAACAGCCATGAAACTATGACTCAAATACACATGTCAAACAGGAAAAACATTTTATATGAGAACGTTATCAACCTTCATGCTTATTTCCAAGATAATACAGAGGTGTTTCAAATGAACATGAAATTTTGTAAGTAGACAAAACTCAAATTTCTGGGAAAACAATGGCACTAATCTAAATTAGTGAAAGTTCGGGAAGAAGATTGGTTAATGAAATATTTTTAAATGATAGTTTAGAAGAATGCCTATCCTTGCACATTGCCAATTCGATCACACACAAACATTCTTCCCTATTTGGCATTCTTGATGTCTTAGAATAATTCTGTTTTACTTACATTCAGAAGAACGAACAGTGCCAGGCACCGGCATGTCATTGGCAACTTCATTTTTGGTTTTTGAAGATCCCTCCTTGTCCTATAAAAGTATAAAAGTAACAAAGGTTTAAATTAATATAGCCTCCATAACAACTTATATTTTCCTTTTCTGGCTTCTTGACTCGAAGAGGATCGATATCCCAAGACACCCTAAATAAAATACACACAAATAGGAACAATATTCTTCTGACACAGTTGCAACTGCATGTCCCATTGTCTCTCCTGTCAAACAGATCATTGGACTTGAGGTGCTATTAAAAAGTTCTGGAGCAAGTTTTGCATATTGGGACTGAAATAAAGGAATTCTAAGAAATCAGAGCAATTCAGGTTGATTTTGACAGTGCGTGCCATCAATAGAACTGCTGAACATTGCTATGCAAGCATCCACAAAGAAGTCACCTCACTGGACATAAGCAAATAGAATCTGTGGTTTGTGAAGGATTCATGGTTATGCCCTGTAGATAACATAAAGTCAACTCTAAAAGTAGTTTTATTTAGAGCCTTGATTATTTTTTTTCCATAAATACTTCTTCAAGCTTCAAGTTGCTAGTAAGAATGCATTTCTTCCACCTAACAAAGTTGGACTATGTCACCAATTGCTCTCCATTCCCACTCAAGAGCATCACAGTCAGAAAAGGCTACTGTGTCACAAATATCAGTTTCTCAGAGCTCAGCAGATAATGGTACACAAGGAAAGATAATAAGGGGGTAAAAATTTAAATATGTACTGCTTTTCATCAGTGAGATTTGTGTGAAAACTGGATTTCAACCAGGAGAGAGTGATTATGATTTCTCTTAAGTGGTATGATTGCCTCTTACACTATATTCATTGTACGATAGATTTTACCCACTCTTGGTGTTGACAATGTGGGCCTGATGTACTTGCTTCTGAAAGAGTAAATTCTATTCGATTTGCATACTAGCACAATAATAAATGGAGAATGTAAAGTCTAATTTTGAAATGTCATCTTATATTCTTATCATTATTCATTGTTTCTGATTTAATTCAAGTCCATTGAGTAGATTAAAAGCACACACATACATGCATTGAGTGCTGAAGCACTACAAGCATACAAATGTGGGTGAGCTGGATGAGCTATGGCACTGTTATAAGAATCTGAACATCTGGGGCAGGGCAGGGAGTAGGTATAAATGACATGGAATGTGGTAAAATAACCAAAATGCTGCCTTAATACAAAGCTCATTAAAATTATGAAAATACAGGGACTTATAAGAGAGCCAGATAAATTCTTGATTGGGAAGACCAGGGCAGGGTTTATATTTTAAGATAGAATTTGAAAATTAAATAGGCTTTTGAAAAGCAAAAACCTACTAGGCAGAGAAAGCAAATAAGATACAGAGATAGGAAAATTCATTATATCCAAAGAATAATAAATGTGATAGTTTAATTTAGCTAGAGCAGAGAGTCTCTCAGAAAGTGGATATAAGGCTGGATAAGTAGACTTTTGAGTGCACAGGAAATTTATTATTTATTTATTATTAAAACCCACCATTTTGGCACGTTGTATACATGCATATTCGTCTTTATATATACACATTATAACAACCTTATCTGATGCTTGTTACAGCTGAAATAAAATATTTTTTTTATAAAATAGTTTTTACTGTTACTGATAATGATGATGGTTTGTGAGCTAATAAATTAAATGAATCATAGAGCTCTGAGTTCTCACAACTGTGTCCTCTCCACACCACCACACTAGCCACACTAGCACATTTGAACATGTTAATTTTCTTGCATTGCACAATTATCCATGAATTGTCTGGATGAGAAACTAGGGATCATCCTGATTCCACCCCTTCTTCATCCCCAGTATATTGTCTCCAGTATTCTGACTATTTGCATTTAGGTATCTTTCAAATATATGTCCACCCCTCTTTCCCCTCTGGCTATAGCCTCCAGACTAGTTTCAGTGCTCCACATCTTGATCTCTCCAACTCAATTTCTCTAATAAAATGAATATGATCTTATCCTCTGTCAATAATTCCTTATGCATTTTAGGCAAATGCACAAAACTTTTGGCTAGGAATATAATATATGGTCCTCCTATAGTAACATGCACCAATATGATAATGGAGAGAAATAAAGAGAAAGAAATTAAAGTTGTCTCCTAGGTCTCTAACTTGACAAAAGGACAAATAACTTAGGAGAAAGAAGTAGTAGGAGGAGGAGCTTTTGATCTGTGTCCTCTCCCTTAATTGAGAATAATGCAACAGGAATGTTCTGGGTAAGACTTATTTCCTGGAGTGAAAGGCAGGATTTTGAAATGTATGCGTATATAAGGACATGAGAAACCTTTCTTAATAAGGTTGCTTTTGGAATTCCTACTTATCACAGTCCCACGATTTAGCCTTGAAGAGAAGCAGGATGTGTAGGACCTTATTGGTGTCAGGTGGAAATGTTAATCACTGATAAACAAAGAAAAGTGTATGCATGCATTATAATATCACCCTGTACAAATATTATGTATTAATCAAAAAAATTTTAAAGTATATAGGGAGATGGAAATGTGGACTATCTTGATTAGATCATTACACATTAATTTTAAAAATATTGCTTAAATTCAGGTTTCTTCTTGAAATGAAAGTCCCTCTCATTAAGTTCATATGTGGGACCTAAGCTTGGTGGGGAGATAGCTTCTCAATGAATGTGAATATGGGGTCATTAGTCAGCTAATTGGCTTCTACTATCCATACCATCTGTTTGATATCAATCAATATTTTGTAATGTACAAGTTGCTCTGTTTGACTCAACAATATCATTAAAATGAAGAGCACTGGAGGCCATTGAAGACTCCTCACTTTTAAAAAGGTGAATGGAACTGCACAGCCATCTTGCTGCAGAAAAGGGGAGCCCCATGGTTTCAAAGCCCAATATACTAGTTTTACAATTGTACCAGGACCAACCAAGGTGAATAAAGACAGTATGAAAATAGATCTGAGGATGAACATTTGGAAATGATTGGGGTGGGGGGGGGGTTAAGCAAGACACGAGATCCTTTCTTTCTGATTATTAATTGACGAGGTCTATCATTCTAAAGATTCTTGCATCATTTTCAACTGTAACAAGCATTGAGCTTGCCCTGCAATTGTCCTGATTAAATAGTGCCTTGTAGATATGCCTCTGAAAGATGTGCTTCATTGAGGATTCCTGATAAAGGGACAAAGAAAATAAAGGTATATCTGTGAAGAAAGAGATGGCTTTATCAATTTCAGAGAAAAAAGGCAATGAAAAGTAGCACTAGAATGGAGATAAGATATATAAGGGAAAGAAGGAGTGAAAGGAATGAGGAAAGGCTTAAAGAGAGTGACAGCCATGAAAAATGCAGGATGAATGCTGGAGACTGATGGCTTAACTAAAGAGGTGATTGATTACAAGATAAGTGAAAAAGTGGATGGGTTGCAGGTAGACTCTAGAGAAAGGTGAATGTTGGATTTCAATTAGGCAGGATTCAGGGTGATACTTGTTATATACATTGACCTTGAGGAGAATTGTTTTGATTGGCAGCTTAGAGAGTTTAAACTAGAACCCAAGTAGGATGGACAGCATCAAGCAAATAGCAGTTAGTACAGAGAAAAATGTAGCTTGGAAATTCTGAACCTGAAATGAAAACAAACAAGATAGATGACCCATGACCAGTCATCTGGTATACCTGGAAGATGTCTCAGAAAACCAGAACAAGGTTTTACTTTGACTCGGGATCATTTGCTTACTCACTTCTTGATGAATTACCTTAACCACAGCAAGGGCTTTGATCACTTTCCTAAGCCCAGACTAAAGAAGACAGTCTGGAATGTAGTAAATGCTCAATAAATGCCGGTTGGTTGTTTTAAGGGATAAGTTAGGGACAGAATCCAAGACATGTCAATCAGAATCTGGAAAGATAGCCAGCCTTGGACTTTTCCTAAAGAGCCCTAACTGTGGAGCCCAGAAATTCCAATTTCTGCTTCTGCTTTAATTATTGTTTTAGTTTTGGGAAAAGAGCTTCACTTCTATGCCAGTTTCCCATCTGTTGAATGACTATTACATGGCTGTGCCATCCTTGAACAAAAGAGCACATGACTGTATATGAACCCTATTGATCCCTCTGGATCTGTCTCAATAGTCTAACTAGTAAAGGTCGGTGTTCTGAAGATAGTTTTGAACCATTCTTTGACCTAAGAAAAGCTTTTGTGGAGCTTTTATATAAGCCAGATCAATGTGAAGACTAAAATCCCAAATGTGGAACCTAAGTTTAAACATAAAGATGAGTAGACCATCTTCAGAGGTGCAGTTGCTGGTGGGACAACAGATTCAGCATTGCCCTGCATTCACAAACGGACACTTGTGAATAATCCCCTCTCTAGAAAACTCTCTCTGGGTTGCAAAGATGGGCTGATCTGGGGGAACCATTTTTATGGTGAATAAGGAGAATCTAAATCACTAATTCTTTGATAATTATTGAATCGAGTAATCATCATTAAGGGTAGTAAATTTCCTTGAAAAGCAAAGTTACATGATTTTTACTTATTTACTTTTTATGGGGAGTATGAAACATCAACGTCTGAAAATAATGTCTATTCCCATTGGTCGGTATTTCCAAAAACATGTTTCATAGTAATTCCATGAGGAACAGTATAAAATAAGGTTTCCACGCCCAAATAAGTTTAGGAAATTAAGTTTTGCCTACACTCCTTTTAGAGATTTATCCTAGATGTTAGTAGTTTAAATAAAGACATTATTTTTCCTATACTAAAACATTTATTTGACTTTTCATTCCCCAAGCTTGATTGAACACGAAACACTATTTTTTGTTTGTTTATTTGTGTGGTAACAGCTAATAACACATGTATACATACACTTAGGAAAATACTCTTAGCTCAATGCAATTACTAAACCACCCCAGTCAATAAAGACTGCAAATAATGATAATGATCTCCTTTTAACTTAAAAAGTATTTCTTTCTTTTCCATGCGGTAAAAGAAGAATGTCTGAGGTCTTACATAGCCCCATCCTTGGTTCAAAGTCCAACAACATTAAT